ACACACTGAAGAGCCACCAAACTACTTTCTGTAGATGCTGTGCACAGTGCCATAAGTACCCTATTGAAGGTCAACTCCCTCCACATCCTTAACACTTATTTTCCATTTTTTAAATGATAGCCTTCTAATGTGTATAAAGTGGTAAATCTGTGATTTTATGTTGAATTTTGCTAATGATTAGTGTTGTTAACTGGTTTTTATTTTCTACAGTGGCTGCCCCTCAAGCAAGGGCTTCCTAACCTGCAGCCTGAGGAGATTTTGTTCCCTCAGGCACCGACTCTTTCAAAGTTACTAAGGGAAACTTTATCTAAATCTAAAGAACTCAGGATTCAGTACTTTAGGTGGAATTCTGCTCGCTCAGAGAGGCTGAATAGCAAGTAGCTAACCTTCTCTTTTTGTTGGTGTCTTCCAAAAAACTCAGCATCCTTCTCTCAGCCCTCACTTAAAAACCCTTGCTACATCGGGCTCCTCCCTACCACTTCCTGTCAGCTACTTGCTGACTCAGCTTCCTTCTTACAGGTTAATTTTATTGTAATCAAACACCTCTTTGAATTGTTAACAAAAGCAGTAGGAAAAAATGCAACACACTTTAATATTCCCCAACAGACTAGTGATACTGAGAATCTTTTCATGAATTTGTGTGCTGTTTCAGAGAAACACCCATTCATTTGTTTTACCTAGTTTTTTTATTGTCATTTGACTTAAATTCTCATTCAGTGGTCAGAATGTTCTGGCTAATCTGTCAATAGCTCTCTATTGCTCTACAGATAACTCTGGAAGTTTTGACCTCCAGGGTGTTTTCTCAGCCTCCTTTGCCAGTTTAAATTCTTAGAGTTCCTATACACATGCATATCGGTCCTGAACATCATTTCTTTCCATCCCAGAGTCTTCACTTAATGTTCTTGCTCTCAATTAAATGTTCTTAATTCCTTTTGTCTTAGGGTCACTATTGCTGTGACGACACACCATGGTCAAAAGCAAACTGGGAGGAAAGGGTTTGTTTGTATCCTGAGTCACAGTCCACATAAGGAAGTCAGGACAGGAACTCACACTGGGCAGGAACCTGGAGGCAGGAACTGACTCAGAGGCCATAGAAGAGTGCTGCTTACTGGCTTGCTCCTCACAGCTCATTCAACCTTCTTTCTTACAGAACCTAGGACCACCAGTGGAGGGGTGAGCCCACCCACAATGGTCTGGACTCTCCCCTACGAATCACTAATTAAGGAAATGCCTTACAGGCTTTCCTACAGCCTGATCATATGGAGGCTCCCTGCTCTCCAGTGACTCGAGCTTGTGCCAAGTTGACATAAAACTAGCCAGTACACCCTTCATTGGCCAAAATTTTTATCTATGTTAGTTAATGTCTGTCTTTAATATTGTTCCATCTAGACTGTCCTGTTTCTTCCCAGCTTATTTTGAAGTTGATTTCAGACATAATCTATTAGTTACTTGTCTTCTTGTTGATGTGATAAAATGCCATGGCCAAAGGAAACTTAAGAGTTTATTTTGGCTTGTTTCCAGAGGGCTAGATGTCCGTAGTGGTGGAGGGGGAAGCATTGTGACAGTAACAGTGAGATCTTGTCTCACTGAACACAGGCAGCAGAGAGCAAACTGGAGCTGGATTGGATTTATAAGCTCTAAAGTCCACTCCTAATGACAATACTTCCTCCAGCAAGGCTCCACACCCTCAAAGTTCTGTAACTTCCCCCAAAACATCACCAACTGGGGTCTGGATTTTCAAATATATGAGCTTTGGGGGGAATGGTTCTCATTCAAACCACAACACATGGATTCACATTATCTTAAATGTTTCTGTTTTGCTCTAAAGACCAAGTACTATTTAAGAATTACTAAAATAATATACACAAAAGTATTTATACCATCAATGTTTACTATCTTAAGAAAACTTTGACCTTGTGTTGTACTTATAATTTTCTTTTCTTTTTCTTTTTTTTTTTGTTTTTTTGTTTTTTTTCGAGACAGGGTTTCTCTGTGTAGCTTTGTGCCTTTCCTGGGACTCACTTGGTAGCCCAGGGTGGCCTCGAACTCACAGAGATCTGCCTGGCTCTGTCTCCTGAGTGCTGGGATTAAAGGTGTGCACCACCACCACCCGGCTTATAATTTTCTTGAACCAGTGTCTGAGTACAAATCTTGCAATAGGTTGATATAATCATATGCCTCTTTTTAATCTTTTTTTCTTGCAATTTGTTGAAGAAATCTATAGTACAAATCCTAATTGGTCTTATCAATAAAAACCCAGAGTCACACATCAGGGTGAAAGCTGAAAGATCAAAGAAGCAGAGCAGCAGCCACTAGAAACTTCTTACCTCTACGAATCCTCAGCCTGAAAGACAGCTCCTGTCTCCTCCTGAGCCTTCTAGTCCTCTCTCTGCTGTAGCTTGAGTTTTCCTGCCTGACCCACAGTCAGGACAAATCTCTCTCACCTGCCAGCCCCACAGCTGCTCAGACCCGACCAAGTAAACACAGAGACTTATATTGCTTACAAACTGTATGGCCGTGGCAGGCTTCTTGCTAACTGTTCTTTCAGCTTAAATTAATCCATTTCCATTAATCTATACCTTGCCACATGGCTCGTGGCTTACCGGCATCTTCACATGCTGTTTCTCATCATGGCGGCTGGCAGTGTCTCTCTGACTCAGCATTCCACTTCCCAGCTTTATTCTCCTCCTTGTCCCGCCTGCACTTCCTGCCTAGCCAATGGCCAATCAGTGTTTTAATTATTGACTAATCAGCAACACATTTGACATACAGAACATCCCACAGCACTCTGCCCAGCCATATCACTTCCTGTCTCCACCTCCCTAGTACTGGGATTAAAGGCATGAGATTCCAAGTGCTGGGATCAAAAGTGTGTGCCACCACTGCCTGGTTCTGTTTCTCTTGATTGACTGGATCAATCTTGTGTAGCCCAGGGTAGCCTTGAACTCACAGAGATCCATCTGCCTCTGGCTCCCAAGTGCTGGGATTAAAGGTGTGTGCCACCACCGCCTGGCCTCTATGGCTAACTAGTGGCTTAGCTCCACACTCTGATCTTCGGGCAAGCTTTATTTGTTAGATCACAAACAAAATATCACCATAGAAATCAAATTCTCTTTCAAGTTTTCTATAGTCTGTTCTTTGCCTTTTATGTCTTTACCTTTACCACTGTATCTATCTATATCTGTCTTTTATCCCCTGTGTTTCCATCAATAAGTAGTTATATCTACATGCTAAATTGAATCCGGGTTTGATTGCTGCTAAAACTGTCTCTTAGGTGGTGGTGCTACATGACTTTCTTAGGGGGCACTTAGTCTGGTCTCTCTTTGGGGGATGTTAGGAGCCATGAATCCACACTTATAGATCCCTTAATTCATAAATGGCTGGAAAGGAAGATAGTCTAATGTTAGCATTCTTTCTTTGCTTGCTAACTACAAATATGCAATACTATTACAATAAATATACTATATATATATATTTTTTTTAAAGATATCGCTTTGTGTACTTTTTATTACATTTACTGATTTACTCAATTTGTGTGTGGTTATGTATGTATTTGTGTAGGAGCACATTTGTGCCTTGGTGAGTGTATAGAGATCAGAGGGCAGCTTTCAGTAGTTGTTCCACACAGTAGCTTTCCACCGTATAGGTCTTGGGATTAACCATATCATCAGGCTTAGTGCAATATCTTTACTCAGTGGGCCACCTCGTTGGGCTATATATACTTTAAAAAAGAGTAATTCCTTCATGCATAAATAATTTGGTTACTCAGAGGCACAATTCATATAAAGAAAGCAGGACAAATGTTTGGTTCTATTTCCCAGTTTTGAATATGAGTTGATTTGCTGGCATCCCACAATTTCCACAATGAATTTTTATTTTAGCATATCATGAATTCATGTATATTATCTTACTATATCATGTTGGTCGATATTTTTCAAACTATTGCAATTATTGTCTTTATTGATACGCACGTCATCTTTGCCAGTAGGAAACAAGTCAAGCTGAATCCTTGGATCCTTTCGAGTTGTCTTTTTCCCAAGTAAGGTATTCTGGGATCCTCTTGTACATTTCCTGCCCAAGAGCTAAAGTCATTCACATCTTACAGGACCTTCCTGTTGTAGCTATCAGTCTGAGCATCACTGAGCTGGCCATTGTTCCTAGATCTTCTTAGTGAATAAAACATGAGTTCCCGCTGACACCTCCAATTCAAGCCCAGAACTCCATCTCCCTCACCCTGATCCTGACTTGGTGAATACCTTCTGATCCCCTTGATTCCCACACTGATCCTGACTTGGTGAATACCTTCTGATCCCCTTGATTCAAAGCAATGACTTCCACTTTGTACTCTGCAACCTCCTTCAACAATCTCATTTTTTGTGTGTGTCTTATCCTTTCTACCGAATGCTAAGCAGTTTGAGGCCAGAGCCTTAAGTTTTTATTTTTTGATACAGTAAGATAAAATTCCTAAAATACTGTTATGTTCCTGACATATAAATACCCTTATGTCTTCATATCCCTCAAGATACAGAACCATGTTATACATGTGCTAAAATTTCATAAATTGTTAAATGAATCTTAAAGTTTAGATTTATGTTCAACTTCTCATATATTAAGTACTAGAAATTCAACTTCAGTGGCAAAATCTTCCCTTTAAAAATACTAAAGTTGGGCTGGAGAGATGGCTCAGCGGTTAAGAGCACTGGCTGCTCTTCCAAAGGTCCTGAGTTCAATCCCCAGCAACCACATGGTGGCTCACAACAATCTGTAATGAGATCTGGCGCCCTCTTCTGGCCTGCAGGAATATGTGCAGGCAGAACACTGTATACATAATAAATAAATAAATCTTTAAAAAAAAAAATACTAAAGTTGCCAGGCATGGTTAGTACTTGGGAGGCAGAGGCAGGCAGATCTCTGAGGTCGAGGCTAACCTGATCTACAGTGTGACTTTTAGGACAGCAGGCTACACAAAGCAAATAAACAAACAGAAAAAGAATACTAAAGCTATTTGAAACATTTTATTTAACAGATATAAAACAATTCTAAACATTTACAGCTCGTACAATGACATAACTTTTATATATTTTTGTTTTTTGTTTTTTGTTTTTCGAGACAGGGTTTCTCTGTGTAGCTTTGCGCCTTTTCCTGGAACTCACTTGGTAGCCCAGGCTGGCCTTGAACTCACAGAGATCCACCTGGCTCTGCCTCCCGAGTGCTGGGATTAAAGGCGTGCGCCACCAACGCCCGGCCAACTTTTATATTTTTTAAAATGTTGACAGTAGGAAATAGGAAATAGGAACGATCACAATGACACTCCAATATATAGGTTCCAAGAAAAGAATCATGAACAAAGTAATCAATGGAAAAAAAATCCCGAAACCATTCTTGGTTGAAGTAAAATGAATAATGCTAGATTTAAAAGTGTGAAATCACACTTTGGTCTGTAAACATATTTAACTTTGCATTTTCATTTAGCTGGGTACATAAAGCGATTCCTTAAATGTCATTTAAATGAACCATTCAAAGGTTTGGTTTTAAAAATAAAAGAGGTAGGAAATGAAAGCTTCGGAGGATTTATTTTGGTAGTTCTTCAATAATGATGCGAGACACTGAATTCCATCCAGTAGAAGCATCTCCTTTAGGGTAATCAGAGCAGGTGCCAACCCAGATGGCCACATCTACCAACCCAGCACCAATCCCTTCACACAGTCCTTCCACTGCAAAACAGAGCCAATCACAACTCTCATTAGAACAAAGGGCAAAACCACTCCTTCTGCATTTACTATAGAAAATCAGATTATAATTCTGCTTACTGGAAAGCTAACTAGAAGTTCTAGTACCCGATCAGGATTTCATAATAAAGTTCTCTTTTCCTTAGTTGGTACATAAATATTTTTGAAGGCAGATGCATAATTACTATGCTATTACCTCAACGAGCAGTATTCTCAAACCAGAATGTTTTAGTTAGGAGATGATTTAAAGCCAAAGAACAGTTTACCAAATCACACGGCACACCTACACTTTTAACTGTCAAGACTTCCCAGCTTTGGACGAGACCTGAACCAGAGCCTGAATCAAGATATGCAAGTCTTTTTAAAGAAAGCCCGTTTCAGCACTGATCTGTAGAGCTGATGATATTCAAATTGAGGATGGAATTAAATTGAGGATATGATTAAAAGAAATCCTAGCTTAATCTTTTACCAGCTATTCAATGTGTGAATCTAATTTACAGATTCTTTTTTTGCAAAAATTTACATGTATGTATATATGTATGTATGTATGTATGTATGTATGTATCATCTATCTATCTATCTATCTATCTATCTATCTATCTATCTATCTATCTATCATCTGTCTAATGTGTGTATGTAGGTATGGATAACACCTGTATCACAATGCACCTGTGGAGATCAGAGAACAATGTATTACAGGAGTTGGTCCCCTCCTTCTGCCACGTGTCCCAGGGACCAAACTCAGCTCATCAGCCTCAGGGGTCAGCACCTTCTACTGCTACACCACCTCACCACCTTTTTTTTTTTTTTTTAAGATTTATTTATTTATTATGCATACAGTGTTCTGTCTGCATATACGCCTGCAGGCCAGAAGAGGGCACTGGATCTCATTATAGATGGTTGTGAGCCACCATGTGGTTGCTGGGAATTGAACTCAGGACCTCTGGAAGAACAGCCAGTGCTCTTAACCTCTGAGCCATCTCTCCAGCCCTAAAGGCATGAGCCACCACCGCCCGGCACAGTTTATTTTTTTTTAAAGATTTATTTATTTATTATGTGTACAGAAGAGGGTGCCAGATCTCATTACAGATGGTTGTGAGCTACCATGTGGGTGCTGGGAATTGAACTCAGGACCTCTGGAAGAGCAGTCAGTGCTCTTAACCTCTGAGCCATCTCTCCAGCCCCCACCTCACCAACCTTTGACAGAATTACTATAATTAAAAAGAAAACCTGTTTTTTGTTTTGTTTTGATGCTGTATCCTTCAAGAGTCTTCTGGACTCTCACACACTAACATACATCTTGCATTGATCCTTACCAAAGTACTTCACTCACATCTAAAAGAAAGATTTCACTGTTGGTCACTAAAACAAGCAGAGAGACATGTTCCCTTTGATGCCTGTGTGAAGTGAGAAAGGAAGCTGGACTTGGCAGATTCCTAAAGAGAATGAATTGTGGCATGCAAGTGGTCCAGTGGCTGTGTAGCTTTCCTGCGGGTTGAGATTAATGTGCTCATGTGCCCTGGTAGGCTCCCAGCTTAGCTGAGGTTAGTGCAGCCCAACTGAGCCCCTGAATATGGAACTGAAGCAATATGTCATCACTGGCGATGACATCTGTAAGTCAACTAACACCAGAATATAGGGACCTGCCACCAGCTCAGACCTCTTTGGAGAGGTAAGCTGTGAGCCCACAATCCATTTAAGCTGTCTGGTAGTCTCAGGACCACGCTAGTTGAAAATGCATGCCAGCAATATTCAAGTTTCCCCAAGGCCTTGACCCCTTATGGCCTCGAAACGTGTCCACTTAACCTTGTAGTCAAAGGACTCCAGACTGCTGCAGGCAGCAAGAACGTATTATAGAGATTCAGCTATATATAATAAAGCTATACCTAGAAAGATCAAAGGAATCTTTTCTAGAGGGAAGCCATTTATCAAGGAATATTTGGTGTTACTCAGCTTTTAATATTCAGCTGTTTCTTGCTATGAAATTCTTGTGTGTTCATATACTACTAGGCCTTAAAGGCAAAAAGTATAAGATTCTCAAATGTACTGCTGATCTACTAGGTAACACCCCTACAAAGTCTAGGAGACATGCAGACTATAGATGCATAGCTTTGTTTCTTGTGCAAATGAAGCTCAGACTTTCCTTCCCCAGACTGGCCAAATGGCATTCCAGAGTATTTGACTCAGAACAAAGAGTTTTTTGCATATCTGGGTAAGAGTGAAGGGGATGCAAGATTCCTGGTAAGGCAGAATCGCATGGCCAGAGGAGAAGAGAACAAGGCAGAGTTTCTGTAGATGGTAGGGCAGAGTCACATGGCCAGAGAGAAAGGAATAAGACAGATCTTTTGTAGAGAATAAGGATTGGGTCAGATCAAGAGAGGAGGAAGAGGAGAAATGAGCATGGACAGAGAAACTGAAGACGAAGATGAGATTGAAAGCATAAGAGCTTACCAGGGCTATGAGAGGACAGAAAAGGGACAGAGAGGAACTGAGTGTCAGGATGGAAATGAAGCTGTGTAGACAGAAGTTTGTTACAGAGAAATAAAGTAAACAGATGTTAGAAACTAGTGTACATAGGTTCTCTTCCCTGATATAAACCCATGCCAGATGTAGCGTCTTCCCCAGGACTCTGGGACAGATTTTCTCAGGGCAGACCCCTGGGAAAATTCTGATACCAGACAGGTGTGGATCTAGTATCACCTCACAGTGAGTCAAGTGGTTAAATGGTGACTTTACCAAATCAAATCCTCATGAACTCCATCTTCCTGAAGGAGTGGTACCATGGTGAGCCTATTGGGTAGCCAAGGCTGAGAACCAGAACAACTGTCTGTTTTGCCATTTCTAACTAGACATTAACTTTGGGGCACATCACCACAAATTTGTTTTGTTTTATTTTGTTTTTAAGATACAGGTACTGGAGACTTACTGGTACTTGGAAGAGACCTGAACCAGAGCCTGAATCAAGATATGCAAGTCTTTTTAAAGAAAGCCCTTTTCAGCACTGATCCATAGATCTGATGATATTCAAATTGAGGACAGGACTTTTATATGATTAAAAGAAATCCTAGCTTAATCTTATACCAGTCATTCAATGTGACCAGAGATTCTGAGTCAGTTGCTCAGTGATGGCGCCCCAGCATCCGTACCCTTTGAAAATGATCTGTGAACAGTTGTGAGTTTCTGTCCAGGGTGGGGAGTCACATACCATGACTTGCTAGAGATCTACTTACAACAGGCTAGTACCCATCATGACAGTGGAAATCAAACACCTTCTTAGGCAGATCTGAGGCACATTCTGCAGTGCTACTATTATACATACCAGAAGAAGTACGATGAATATTAATTGTTGAATTTAATTCAGGGCTCCCTTGATCCAGATAGATGATGGCTTCAATGGGAAGAGGTCCTGAACATTCAGCTCCATTAAATGTAAAATACCAGCGCTGACAGCAAGCATTTCTGCACTTTAGCCGAAGTGAACCGCTGAACAGAACACGCAGGGCACTGTTGGAGCGCATCTTCGTAAATGTACATTCCTGCCACAGCGGAAAAACAACTGAACATTTCTCATTTAATTAAAAAGTGACCTTGACTATCAAGTAATGGAGGCTAACCCAGAGCAATTGCTAGAGTCTGTGAGACCCCATTGACCAACAACTCCAAAAAAAGGTCCCCATATTTAGTATTGGGCTTTTTATTTGCTAGTCTATGGTGTCTAGGGAAACACCACTCAAGCTCCTTTTATACATGAACATGTATATATTTTAGGAAGCTTCTCCAGTGGTGTTTCCATATGGCTTTTTTCAAAGGTCTTTAGTGTTAGTTCTCCCTCCTCATACACACTCTCTTCTCCAGCCCTCCCATTCCCCACCTCATTTAACCCTTCCTGTTCCGTTATTCACTTTTCCTCCTTCACAATGCCAGAGTTCTATCCCACTTCCTTTGAGTACCATGGCTCCTTACTAATTTTACAACGTCTATGAATATACCATAATTTAAATATGCTAATCTAAAGATTCAAAGCTAGCATCCAGGCTGGGTGGTGGTGGTGCATCCCTTTAATTCCAGCACTCAGAATGCAGAGGCAGCTGGAACTCTGAGTTCAAGGCCAGCTTGGTCTACAGAGTGAGTAGCTAGAGCTACTCAGAGAAACCCTGTCTTGAAAAACAAAAGCAAGAACAACAACAACAACAAAAAGCTAGCATCCATATCTTTCTGGGTCTGGGTGACCTTACTGAAAATGACTATTTTCAGTATCCCCTCATTTACCTGTGAATCTTGTAATTTCATTTCTCTTTACAGGTGAATAATATTTCCTATTTCTGATGATACCACATACTTAAGTCATAGGACATGGGCAATTAAGCTGGCACTGACCTGCAAACTTCATCCCTACTGGCTAGCTTTCATAATACTGGAAGGTTCAATGCATGTTGCCAAGGGAGAAAAGTAATCAAAAGTCTTACCCAGCTGTGAACCCTGTGAACTAGGATAACAGTGGTCCCACTGGTGTAACAGTGGTACAAACGTTAGGGGAGTAACCAACTACTTTCTGATTGGGTTAAAAGCCAGCTCAACAAGATGAAACTCATGCCTGATAGAGTTAACTGGACCCCAAATCCATAGCTGGCTAGCTCATAAGGCTCTAGAGGAGAAACTAAAACTATTATTCTGCTAAAAAGACTTAGTAATAAACTGCCCCCTAAGTCTTTCTTTTTATACCCATAAATTAGTACATCTCTTCAACCTCATCAGAGAATCTTCCTTTTGCAGTGGATGAAGATTAGTACAGAGACCCACAAGTGGTCAGTGTTCAGAGAATAAGAGGGGGCATTGTAGGCACCTGCAATGAAACAGAATTTGCCAGACAGGACAGGTCATCGCACACATGAATCCACAGCAAGCTGCATACGCAAGACCTGCACAAAATCAGTCCAGCCAAAACCCCAGCATGGATGTGGGAGGAGCTCATGAAGTCCCACCCCTAGATGTGCAATGAATTGTGGGTTTTCCTTCTTAAGCCACTGCAAACCATGATTCGGGGCCATTTTCCAGGAACCTGGCTATGGACTTGGCCATTTGGTTTTAAACTGTGGTAGTGGTCTCATTCTTGATGGGTAAGATTAACACTTTTAGAACTTAAGCTACAGCAGGATGTGTTACATTAATTTCAATTATTTACTTAGTGATAAGATTAGAATGTTGGTTACTGTCTAACTTGAAAAATTCTTTTTGCATTTACTTTGATGAATAAAGTGATTATCTGCCTTAGAAATACCTTTATGAAATTAACTGAAATGTTATCAAATTTTTCACTAGTTTTAAGTAAGAAAATCACACATTATTATTCTGCGCCCTTTTATTTAAAGTCCCTTAGGTTTAACAAAAATAAAATTGACACTGACTTAGAAAATACATTTTGCTTCAACTTTAATATGATTTGACTTTACTTACCGCAATCTTCCCAAGATCTATGCCGTAATTCAGTGAGCTCCACGAACACTGCTTGTAGTTTGGGGTCCAGGACTCCTCAAAGCTTTCTCTTAAGCACTCCCCCTTTTCTCCTTTGAATCCATCCCGACCTGGAATTCCTGGTGTGCCAGGAATACCATTGGCTCCAGGACTCCCATCACGACCAGGAACTCCTGCTGGCCCTTGTAAGCACATTCCATTGTACTATAGTATGAAGGAGAAGGGAAAAGCATCATCACTTAAGACACAAACTCAGTATAGGGTATAGGGATGTAGTTCAATGGTAGAGCTCTTGCCTAGCGAGCTCAAGACTCAAGGTTTGACCCCCAGGACACAACAAGTAAATAAAGAAATTCATTCGTGAATATGTAAATAAACAATGCGTAAAAGTCCAGTGATCACAAATGCATTTATTCTGAATCTGTCAAGAGTCCCTTTAAACCACCTTGTCCATGTTCTTATGAACTCATTTTAAGGTTACTTAGAAAACAATATCACGTCTTCATTTTTTTTAATTGCACAAACTTATACAAAACAATGAGAAAACACTTTTATGTCTTTTTCTTTGTACTTCTGATTATATGTAATTTTAACTAGCTGTATTCCAAGGTACACATCATTTGATCTTTTTTAATTTAAATTTTGTTGTTGTTATTTTATGAGTATGGTAGCATGCCTGACTTGTGAAGACTAGAACAGTGATCAGATCTCTTGGAACTGGAATTACAGTTGTGAGCTGCCATGTGAGTGCTGGGAGTTGAGCCTGGGTCCTCTGGAAAACCAGTCAGTGCTCTTAACTGCTGAGCCATCTCTCTAGTCCCCAATAATCTGTGTTTGGTCCTTATAACTCCATATTTTATTAAGTACTTATACTCCAAAAACGTACTTTTACATTATCATACTTTTTTTTTTTTTTAAAGACAGTTTCTCTGTGTATCCCTGGCTGCCCTGGAACTTGATCTGTAGACCAGGCTGACCCTGAACTCACAGAGAGCCCCCTCCCTCTGCCTCCTCTGTGTTGGGACTAAAAGTGTGCACCACCACTGCCTTGCTATCATACAAACAAAAATTTTTTTTAAACATAATTCCTTATTGATTCTTTGGGAATTTCACATCAAGCATCTCGATTCCACTCACCTCCCAGTCTCTCCATATCCACTCCTCACCCCAGCAGCATGCCCCCCCCCAAATTAATTAAAAACAAAACAGAACAAACAATCATACAAAAATTTTAGTGCTCAGTGTTTGGGTTCTTACTTCTGGTTTTTGTTATAGATATTAATATAATGAAAATACTTATCCACATATTTTTTCTTCCTTTGAGTGACTTAAGATTAATTGCCATGGAAAGAACTATGAAATAAAGCCTTACTTATCTCTATTGCATTATCTCTAAGTTGGATGCGCATATCATCTGCTTCTCCTATTTTTATGTAAAGGAAGATGCTCTAGGCTTGCACTTTGCCAGCCCGTTCTGTCTCCCTAAAGAGGAGTCTGTGGTCCAGTTTCATGTGACCATCTGTCCTCAACAGGTAGGTAATAATTTACCAAACCATCTGTAAGAGCTGGGATTCTCTGTTTTGTTTGTTTTGTGTATGATGTAGAATTGAGATGTAAAGATTCTAGAACCATTTTCTTTTTATTTTGATACAAGCCTCACCCACTCTTAGATATGTGAGACCAGGCCATTTACTCAGCATTTCAGTGCCTGTTTCCTTATGTATAAACTTCGGATAATAACAAACATTCTTGCCTTGAAGTTAGTGTTTGGTAGCACACACCTGTAATTCCTGTACTTGGGAGACAGAGGCAGGAGGATCCAGAGTTCAGGATCCCCCCAACACAGCAAATTTGAGGTCAGCCTGGGATGCAGGAGTCCACTCCTCAACACACACACACACACACACACACACACACACACACACACACACACACAAATGCACTTTGAACTCAGAGCCTATGCATCCTAGGCAAGTGCTCTACTATTGACCTATAATAGTGATACTTTGAGCTCCCTTGTCCAATTCCTGTGCCTACCCTTGAATTAGTTCACATGGAAACAAGGGTGCCCTTAATTAGACCTTCAAAATGCAATGCATTCCAATTAAATTTTTAACATTTCCCTTATTGATGTAAATTTCTCTAGTACATTTGATATTTTTTAATTCCTCTCAGGCAAGATGTTGCATACAGTAAAGTTTTTCTTTTCCCAGTTAAAATCCTAGTGCCAATAGATACTTAGAGTTGTCAGTGAATGTCAGTCTACAGTGTGAGGAGAGTGAGAGGAAGCTCAATTTCCCTCTCCCAGCTCCCTATTTCTTTTATTGGCCACCAGGGGGCAGGACTTAGTGGGAGCCTGAAAGGAAGGCTTTGAAAGCACCTATACAAAGAAGTTACTTTATACAATCTGTTGAAACCTTCCTAGTGACTGTGTGGACTTTCTGTCACCAAGACCAAATCCAATGTACAGGATGCACCTGAGCCCGGCCGCACAGTGTGCTTTTCCAAGTTGGGCTGGAGTTGTGGGAAGCCACAGGTCCAGTAAAATCCTGAGAGGGGAAAATACCAGCTTTATGGGGAAAGGGACTGTTTTCCGTATCTTAACTACACATTCATAAAATGCAGGCTGCACATGAGCCACACTCATGTGGCACAGTTTTGTTTTGTTTTGTTTTTAAGAACTTAGTCGCTTAAAATGGAACCGTAGCCCCAACACAGTGTGCTTTTGTGGGGCAAAATTATACATCGTAGCAGAAAACAAGAACGACAAAAAACAAGCAAAACCCCACCACCGCTGTGTGAAACAGCAGGGATTTCCCCACCCTCCACCCCCCAGTGCTTTTGAATGTCAGTTTAAGAAATTCAAATCTTTAAAAAACAAACAAACACCAAATGCCCTCTATGTATTGCAGTGCCTGGCAGCCATGTAGGTTGGTTTAAGGACCGGAGTTTCTGACGTGCCAAGGACCACAGATCTGTCATTGGATGGCTCTTGCACGGGACAGAGAACCTCTCTGCCCTCCACGGGGTTGTTGACTTTTAGAGTGTAGAGGGAAAGATTTAATGCAAACAGAGTTTCCCACACATCAGCCCCTCGGAGAGAGCTTGGGATATTTGCTTTCCCGGAAGCATTTTCTTCCCCTTTCTGGCGATCGATCGCAGTGTTCCTGACTGGTAGCAAGGGCCTGAAGATAAGACCGCGCATCTGCTTTGAACAGAACAGCCGAGATGGGTCCTTGGGAGGGCTCCTACTGGCGCCCTTCATTTCCCTCTTCCAGCTCCAAACCCTCTGAACCATTCCTGGCCCAAGCTGCAGTCCCTCCAAGGAGTAAATTGCAACTCATACTCCCCAGAAAGATGACCCAAAGTGACTCATAATCTTCAAGTTACAAAAAGCTGGACGCATGCTATGTGTGTGTGTGTGGGGGGGGGGGGTGTTAGTCTCTCCTCCAGGCAGACGTGGCCACCAGTCCCAACAAAGGACACGTAGCACAGCCTTGGCCCAGGCCCAGGCGATCAGCTGGCCTAGGGTCTTCTTGAGGCCTGCTTTTAAAATCAGCTGAGCAGCTCAGTCTACCCCAGCTGCAGCCACAACGTCCCTCACTTCTTTCAAGGGTGGCCTCCCCTGAGGCCAGAAACTCCTGGGCGACTACACGGACTTGGAACATCTCACCTGACCCAGGTCGCATCTCTGCGATGACCTCTCATTACGGACTCCCGAGGAGTTTCATGACTCCACTTCAGGCATGTCCTAGATCCTTCCCCACGCACAGACTCAGACAAGGCAGGACACTCGAGTTAAGATTCCTAACACGCTGTCCTAGGCGCACCCCTAGGTCAGCACCACCGACAGCTGTTTTGATGCCCTCCCTGTGCGCGCGTGGCTGGGTCCTCTCCAGCACCGAGGTCAGGACCGACTGACTCCCTCAGACTCACCAGGTCTACCACCTCCCTCTGCCGGATCAGCGCTTTTTGCTTCACCTTGGGGTTCTCGGAGGCGCTGGACTTCGCCGGCAACTGCAGCAGCAGCAGCGACACAAGGAAGAGGCCGAGCAGCAGCCGCGGGGAGGCGGTGCGACCTTGGGGGTGCATGGTGTGCGGTGGCTGCGCAGCGCCCGGGAGCCGGAGGTAGAGGGGTCGGCGGGGCCCGGCCCTGGTCCGCGTCTGGCGGAGCTCTGCAGCCCGCCGCATCAATGAGCCTTTCACCGAGCGCCGCCCTCCCCTCTTCCCTCCCGCCCCCTGGACACCCGAGGTTGCATACTGTAATAGGCCAGGGTCCCGGGCTCGAGCCCGCCCCTCCTCCGCAGCTCCGCCCGCCCGGACCCTCGCCTGGTGACTGGTTAGGAGCCACGGATGAGGGGAAATCGAGATGGCAGTGTCTTAACTCTGGGCCAGGAATCACCTTGGGGTGGTGGGGAGGGAGGGAGGGAGGGAGGGAGGGAGGGAGAGAGAGAGAGAGAGAACATTTGGTAGTATTAAGCAAGGAGAGCCATAATATAAAAAGTCTTTAAGAGTCCTATGACCCAAATATTACTAATGTTTGAAGAAGTACTATCCCCTTCTAAGAGGCAAGGTGCAAAGCTTTGTTGACGTGGCCTCTTGGCAATCCCGTGGGGGATGCTGCTGCCTGTCTTCTCCATTCATAGGTGAAGAACTGAGGCTCATGGACAATAACCAACTTTCAGTGCTGGAAGTTCTTTTTCGAGTGCCCATTCCCCTAAGATTAACGCATGTTTAAAACTCCATGGACTCCAGCCAGGGAAGCAGGTCTCAGCTCCACCCAGCACTCCCTGTCAGGGAAGACGGGAGGTGACCTGCAGCTCTTCACCTCTCCTTCCCTCCCTCCCTCCGGTCTCGTCCCCTAGTACCACCCCCAGCTCTGGTGCAGACACCTGCAGCAGCCTCTCACCCCTAAACTCCCTTCCCCAACTCACTGCCTTGCCCACCCCTCCCCCAAACTCCAGCAGGTACTCCCTGGGAACCCACAGGCCACACTGCACAGGAAAGCAGGTAGACTAATTGCCTCTCCCTCTGCTCCTCAAAGTCCAATTCTCCAGCCCCACCCCAGCTGTGCACCAGAACACCTGTCCCTTCTTCTGCACCCATTTCCGGTGGATCCCACAGATCCTCCCCTGCAAACTTTCTTCCCCCAACTCACTGTTTTACTCCAGCCTCCAGCTCCATAGGCCACTCCTGCTCACTGCAGATCTTCACCTCTCCCTCTGATCCTTCAAGTCCAATCCCCCAGTCTCTCCCTCAGCTCCAGCAGACCTCTTGCTGTGGCCTCTCCTCACTCTCTACTCCCACTGCCCAGAGACTAACTGAGCAGATCTTGGTGGGACACCCTGCTTTTCTTCCTCTTGTTAATTCATCTCCACCATCTCCAACCCCTCCCCATTTTTAAGTGTCAGCTGCCAATACCCAGAAACATGTTTTCCTGGAAACCTCCCCCCCCCCCCAGTGCACACACCTATCGGGACCCCCAAAGATTTTCCTACAGGCAACACACAGCTGCCACATTCTCCTAAGAACCAGACAGAGAGAAAACAAACAACAAAACAAAACAAAAAGCCAATGAACAAAACACCCACCCAACAAAGACCATTATCAGCACCTAGAATTACAATCTCCCTAAACCCAGATGCCTAGATGCCAGTATAAAAACACAACCAGTCACAACCAGGACCATTATGTCTTCTCTACAACCCAGCAACCCTACCACAGCAGGTTCTGAATATTTCAACACAGGAGAAGCATAAGTAAAAGTCTTTAAAAACAAAAGGCCTTTATGAATATGATAGGGTCCTTAAAGAGGAAATGAATAAATCCCTTAAAGAAATCTATGAAAACACAAAGAAACAGTTGAAGGAGATGAACAAGACCATCTAAGACCTGAAAGTGGAATCCATAAAGAAAACCCGAACTGAGGGAAATCTGGAACTGAAAACTATAGGAACTTGAACAGGAGCCTCAGAGGCAAGCTTCACCAACAGAATACAAGAGACGGAAGGGAGAATCTCAGACACTGAAGACATGGTAGAAGAGATGATACACAGAGCAAAGAAAATGTTAAATCTAAAAAACTCCTGGCAAAAAACATCCAGGAAATCTGAGACACTGTGAAAAGACCAAATCTAAGAATATTAGGAAGGAGAAGAAAGACAGGTCAAAGGCACAGAAAACATTTTCAACAGAATGACAGAAGAAAAATTTTCTAACCTAAGGAAGAAGATGCCTATCAAAGTATAAGAAGCATACAGAACACCAAATAGACTGGACCAGAAAAGAAAGTCCCCTTGGCATATAATAACCAAAACACTGAATGTACAGAACAAAGAAAGAATATTGGAAACTGCAAGGGAAAAGACCAAGTAACATGTAAAAGGAAGACCTGACCTCTCAGTGGAGACCGTAAAAGCCAGAGGGGCCTGGAAAGATGTGCTATGAGACCACAAATGCCAGCCCTGACTACTATATCCGGCAAAACTTTCATTCACCATAAATGGAGACAATAAGACATTCCATGATAAAATCAAGTATAAGCAATATATATTTACAAATCCAGCCTTCTGCAAGGTGATAGAAGGTAAACTCCAACCTTGTAGCATGAATCTTAGAGAGTCTTATTAATAAAATCAAACCCGGGGCCAGTTATTGGGGTCAATGCTGGTAGATCAGAGAGACAGAACAAGCCACATCTATCTCACGTCGCCAATTCCTCAGCTGGTTTTGTTTCCTCAGACTGGAAGCCTCTGAGTCCTCATCCAGAATGAATCTCAGCTGAACTGTGTTGCTCCAAAGCTTGAAAGCTTAACCAGCCAAATGCCTCCTAACCAGCCAAATGCCTCACCAGCCAAATGCTTCCAGTTTCTGGTCCTCACGCCTTATAAACCTTTCTGCTTTCTACCACCACTCCCTGGGATTAAAGGCTGCTTTCTGGGATTAAAGGCGTGAGTCACCATGCCTGGCTGTTTCCAATGCGGCCTTGAACTCACAGAGATCCAGAGGGATTTCTGTCTCTGGAATGCTAGGATTAAAGGCGTTTGCTAACATTTTCTAGCCTAAGTATCTTGTGGCTTTTCTGTTCTCTGACCCCAGATAAGTTTATTAAGGTACACAATATTTTGGGGAACACAATACCACCACACAACCTAAAGAGGTTAACTACATCCAAGAAAACACAGGGAAAAAATAATCCCAGACCAGCAAAAAAAAAAAAAAAAGAAGGAAGCACATACCACCACCACTACCACCACCACCACCACCATCATTAACAACAACAACAACAAAATAACATGAATCAACAATTATTGGTCATTGAAATCTTTCAACATCATCTTAATTCCTCAATTCCCTGATAAAATACACAAACTAGCAGAATGGATGTGAAAACAGAACCCATCCTTCAGCCAAATTCAAGAAACATATTTTAACATCAAGGATAGACATCACATCAGGGTATAGGTTTAGAAAAGATATCCCAAGCAAATGGACCTAAGAAACAAACTGATATAGTCATTTTAATATCTGACAAAATAGACTTTAAACCAAAACTAATCAGAAGAGATAGTGAAGGACATGACATACTCATCTGTTGGTTTAAATATTAAGGCAACTCCATGTAGTTAAAAGGGAGGTTTATTTTGTGGAGTAACTTATAAGTGAAGGGATAGGTTACAGGGTCTGGGAAAGGTGAAGTGCAGTCCAGCAGTGTTCTCTGGAGAACTCTGCTTGGTCTACCTCCAGTGTCCAGGATCCAGGAACCAGGAGAGCAGGCCCATCTGGATCTTGGGTCTTCAGGGGTCCTGTCTCGGCTCCGCCTTCTAGGTGTGACAGCTACCGAAGCCTCAATGGGGGTAGCACTTCCAGGTCAAAGCTGGAATGGCTACCCACTACACTCATCAAAGAAAAAAATCCACTAAGAGGACAGTGCAATTATTAGCATCTATGCTCCAAACACAAGGGCACTTAAGTTCGTAAAAGAAATGTATGTACAGCTTAAATCACACATTGACTCATACACTGACAGTAGGAGACTTCAGTAACCCCCTCTCCACAATGGACAGGTCATCCGGACAAAAACTAAACAGAGAAATGTTGGAGCTAACTGAAGTTATAAACCCAATGGACCTAATAGATATTTATAGAACATTTCACCCTAACATAATATACCTTCTTCCCTACACCTCATGGAATGTTCTCCAAAATTGACCACATACAGGGACACAAAGCAAGTCTCCACAAATACAAGAAAACTGAAATAACTTCCTGGCCACATGTATTAAAGCTGGACATCAATAACAGCAGAAACAACAGAAATCTTACAAACTGGTGGAAATCAAACAGCTCTCTACTGACTGAAAAAAGGGTCAAGACAGAAATTAACAAAGAAGTTAAAGACTTTCTAGAGTTGAATGAAAATGAATACACACCATATCCAAACGTATGGGACACTACGAAAGCAGTGCTAAGAGGAAAGTTCATAGCATTAAGTGCCTGCATTAAAAAAAGAAATTGGAGAGCCGCGGGTTATCGTTCCAACATGGCCAAGTCCAAGAACCACACCACACACACAACCAATCTCGAAAATGGCACAGAAATGGTATCACAAAACCCCGGTCACAAAGATACGAATCTCTTAAGGGGGTGGACCCCAAGTTCCTGAGGAACATGCACTTTGCCAAGAAGCACAACAAGAAAGGCCTGAAAAAGATGCAGGCCAACAACGCAAAGGCAGTGAGTGCATGTGCAGAGGCCATCCAGGCCCTTGTGAAGCCCAAAGCGGCTAAGCCCAAGATGCCAAAGGGCCCCAGCCGCAAGCTCAGTCGGCTCGCTTTCATCGCTCACCCCAAGCTCGGGAAGCAGATTAGAAGCTACATGGCCAAGGGTCGTATGCTCTGCCAGCCAAAGCCCAAGGCTCAAACCAAGGCAGAGGCCTCAGCTCCAGCTCAGGCTCCCAAAGGTGCCCAGGCCCCTGTGAAGGCCCCATAGAAAAGGTTTCTGTCTGCCAGACAGATGGACTGGTGTGACACACCTACACACTATTTGCAGATGATCAGGACCCCATGCTGTTTTTACAAATAAATTTGAGGCAGGATCTGTTAAAAAAAAAAAAAAAAAAGAAATTGGAGAGATCTCATGTTAGCAACTTGACAACACACCTGAAAGGTCTAGAACATAAAAAGATACCACACCCCAAAGGAGTAGATGGCAAGAAACAATCAAACTGAGGCTGAAATCAATAAAACAGAAAGAGAACAATACAAAGAATCAAAGAAACAGAGAGTTGGTTCTTTAACAAAATCAATAAGATT